GTTCCCAGTCGCCGGCTCGGTAGACCCCTCTTCTACTCCTCCCCACCCCCGGCCCAGTCCCAGCTCACCGCACTTCCCAACCCCCGGACGCCCTGGGCCGACCTCCATGACCTTCCCACAGCCTCCTCCCTACTGCCCCAAACCCCCGGGGGAAGTACTTAGGGCACCGGGCGAGACGTGGCTACGGGACTTGGGAGAAGAGAGTGGGCAGCGGGGATCACATCACACGCTGGCCTCACACCACTTAACAGGGCACAAGGGAAAAGGGGTGACATCTCCCCGAGAGCGCCGCATGCCTCCGGCTCGGTTGAGATAAAAGAGTCCAGGTGGGGTGCGAGGTTGCCCCAGACCCTAGATAATTGAACTTCTCTCCCCACCCCCATTTCTGCCCTTGCAGTCAGCGTCACCGTAGGGGGCAAGCAGTACCTCCTGGGACTCTATGACACGGCGGGACAGGTGAGTGTCTTGGCCCCTGGCCGACATCCCCTTGCCTTTCCTCAATTCAGGGTGGCTGCAAATGGCCTTTGGAAACTGAGGTGTCCAAGAGGGAGGGTGTGTCTGCGAGGGGCCCCTCTGGATCAAATCTTTATTTCTTTTTTCAAGTCAGCAAATTAGGAAAAGGAGAAACACAGGCAAGCACACACAACGCAACAACAAACCTAGCCCAGCCCACCCCATGTGAACCCCTGTGCTGTGAAAGTTTTTGCCTGTGTGTGCTTTCTGTATGGTGCCTGGTGTGTGGGTCCCAACTCCTGTTGCAAAGTGGCAGCGGCCAATCATGAAGCGCCCTTATTTTTAGTTGCAGATGACCAGGTCTCCCCCTCACAGCCTCTGTCTGGTCCCTCATTGGAGAGTGGTCTGCCTGCCCGAGGAACCTGATTGGTGCGAAATGGCATCATCTAATATGATGGGAAGGCATTTGGTCCTGGTTATGTTTATTACAACATCATTGCACTCTGGGACTCGAGTCCCTGCAAACGTAATTTGTGGTGTTACCAGAGGACCATAGGGAAAAAAAGAAAAGAAACAACAACCATTCAGCCACTCCCTGGGGTAAGGAGGAAGAGGAAGGGTTAGGAGTTCAGTATGAATCTTGGAGGAAGAGCTTTTTTTTTCTTCCTTAGGAAGGCCAGGTGACTTTGTCTGGGTTTTCTTTGGGAGAGATTATTGTGCAGAAAGAAAATGCACACTCCTCCTGGCAGCCTCTGACCATTAGCAAATCAGAGGTGGCTCCTAAAGGATTAAAGTCTCCTCCCTGTCTCTGTCCCAGCCACCCTCTTCCCAGACCCACTTTTGCTGTGGGGCTGGGATGATTGTGTGTAATGAAGTTTTGTAGAATCCAGCCCTGTGATTAGACATGAAGCCTTGGGCAGAAATTTCCACGTGTCATCCAGACTTGAGTCGTTGAGGCCATGTGAACAGCTGAGGGGCTTTAGAGAGTGCTTTGGAGGATGTCTGGTAGTACAGTTTCCTTTTCTATAAAATGTTAGAAAAAATTCCTGTTCATGTAATATATGCCAGATGCTTAGCACTGAGTGTGGCACACACAGGTGCTCAATAAAGGGGAGCTATTCTTTGTAGCTTTTTTAGATTCGGATTTCAGAATTGTGGTACCAGGTTAGAGTCTGAAAAATGTTTTATTGAGAGTGTTTTGATGTGGCTTCTGGTTTCCAAACTGTTAAGTTAGAGGAGCATCTGAGGATAGAGAAACTGTTGGCAGTGCAAGGTGCCAGAGGCTGTCCCCTTTCACCAGACCGTCCTAAGTCAGTACAACCAGTTCTTAGCTTTCCAGGGCCCCTTTTGGATGCCTGCCCTATTGTATTGTAGTTGTTACTTATTCTGTCAGAACGTATGGAGGGCAGGAGGCAGAACTCTGCCAGTTAAGTAAGACCAACTTTTGAGCAACAGAGTAGATAAATAACAGGTTGAAATTACTGGTTGAAAGGAGAGAGGTTTTTAAACATCGTCTCTAATTTTAACTTCTCTCACTAGCACCTCTTCCCTTTTCTCATTTAACTTGTCACCATGACCATTTGTTTGACCACAAGCCCTGTTCAACAGGATGTATGTATGTCAGACCTGTTCTGTGCACCTTTAGACCCAACTAATATTTACTGAGTTCCTTCGACATATCAGGCATGGGACAGCCACATGCAAATATCTTTTTATTTTCTCCACAAAACAACTCCATGAGATAAGTGATATTTTATCTTTGCAGATGAGGAAACTGGGATTCCAAGAAGCTAGGTAGCTGACTTAAGGTTGCACAGCTACTGACGGGTATTGCTGGGATTAGGGCACGGGTCTGAATTTGCCCCAGTTTGAGGTGGTTATACACACAGAGAGCAACAGGAGAGGCTGAGATGCTACCTGGGTTGATTGGATTCCTTGTGTGTCTATAGACACACCTGGAATCTTGATGGCCATTCTCTGAGTGGGGATCGAATGCAACCGCTGCAGAGGAGAGAACCCAGATCCAAAGAATCACCTGAAGTTGGACCCACTCACAAAACCAGGGCTTCCCATAAGTCATCGTGATTGCTGTTTCCTATGGAGATTGTAAGATACAATACCAAGTGGGACCAAACTATTAGTAAGGTTCAGATGTTACTGTTTTTACCCAGCGGTCGGACACCTACTCTATCGGCCAAGATGCGTTTTAGGCCCCCTTGGTGTTTTTGCCAGTGTCTGGAACTTTTCCTTTTAGATCAATGTTAGTGATAATTCATCTTTCAGCATTTAAGGGTTTATTGCTAATAAGCAATCTTAGCAATGTAATTATCAATGAGATTAAGTGAGGAGTGCCCATTGTCTACCTTAGCACTGTGCTAAGCACCTGGGGACTACAAAAGAATAAGTTTAAGATAGGGCTCTGCTATGGCTGATGATAGGATAAGTAGAAGTGTCTGAACCAGATATCTGTTCATGTGTGTTACATAGGAGATTCCTGTGTTGTCATTAAGATGTGATGCCTCTATGAAGCCATGTTTACAATAAGTAAACACATAGACATGCATACACACATATACATCCGCATTTAAGCCTTACGGACAGCAGAGGAAAGCCCACGGGCTTTCGAACCAAAGAGACCTGGGCTCAGATCTCCATCTTACTGTACTAGTCGTGCGGTTCTAGCTGTATTTAACCTTTGTGATGTAGTAAAATATGTGGACAATTAGAATCTATGCTGCAGTGCTGTAAACTGGCTTAAACTGTTCAATGTATGTGAAAACAGCTGACACTGTTCTTCCCTCATAGTAGATGAGTATAAATATTACAAGAAATTATTGTACTGCACCCTGGTCAGTTTTGTTGGGGCAAGGGGGGGTCACAGGTGGAAGAGGATAGTGTATTGTGTTTGGAGTTGATGATAGAAATTCCACTAGATTCCAGATCCTAGAATCTTTTCACTGGAAGTGTGGAGCCAGCTTTGTACTTCCTGATTCCCACAGTCCCCATCACTGGACCCATGGACGCAGTCCAGTGTTCCCTGCTCTAAATGCCTTGTTGTATCAGATGGTTTCCTTTCTTTCTCAGAGCCTGTATCCCCAGTAATGTAAGAGAAACTTAGAAAAACTAAAAGTTCAGTGCACACTTCGAGAGACAAGTGGGGTATGTAGGTTTCAGTTGATTCTACTTTGGGAGGTAAGAAGCGTTGAGGAGGAAGTGCATGGGACTGGAAAGCGTCGCTTTCTCTCCAAAATGCTCTCCCAGAATGTTCACTCGCTGTATTTGAATAACAGCAATAAGGGCCTCCCTTAGGTTGGAATTTAAAGTTTATATGCTTATTCTTGGTCTCCTCTTTGACCCCAGTCAAGTTCAAGGCCATAGGTAACATTCACCCAGTTTACATACTAGGGAACAGAAGAGATGACCATGGTAGATGACCTTTTGCCTTCTGGAGGAGTCTGCTTCCCCCTTGCCCTCTACCACTATTGGTCCAGAGTGGAGGTGGGGAGGGGGGGTTGGGGGGGTGGAGCGTAGGTTGGGGGAGAGAATGAATGAGTAGGAATGTGAGTGTTTTGGGCAGCTTTAGTCCCTATCATGGGCTCTGCCTGGGCACATCCCTCAATGCCCCCCACACCAGAGGGGAAGCCCCCTCTCTTGGCCAAGCCCCCGGGTGGCCCAGGAGCATCCCTGATGCTTTGACTGCCCAGCGTTTTGGAGTGGAAGTTGAGGGCAGTGGTGCCTTCCTCCTCGCTGGGGCCTTGTAGAGGGGTCTGGCTTCCGGCCTGGGAGTCTCTGCAGCTTCTCCTTTCTTGCCCAGCTTTCAGGACTTCAGGGTAGGCTCTGCAGCAGCCCTCTTGTCCACTCAGGGTGGGACTGGAGAGGCAGTATTTTCCCTCCTGCCCCCGTACTGTTTGGAGCACAGGGGAGGTGGCAAGAGCTTTCACTCTCTGTGCAGATGAGCTGGTGGGGAGCTGCCTGGCAAGCTGCTCTTGAGCTGTGGGCTCCTGGCTGATCTCTTAATCCTTGGCAGGAAGGCAGAACTTGATACCCTAAAGAGGGAAGGACTGGCGCCCAGTTTATCCCAGGTCTTGGAATACCCACACTCAGGAGGGTGTGTGTTGGGGGTGCTTTTGGGTTCCCTAAAGTTCCAGATTTAGCCACTGCCTCAGTATGTGGAAGTTCATATGCATGCTTTTGGGTGTGCTGTTGCTATGTCTGTTCACTGAAACACACACAGGTTCAAGGATGCATACACGAGAGCCATAAATACCCTTAACTTAGGTGTCCCTGGGGTTGGCTTTTCAGTGACAAGTGAGATCTGTTTCTTACTTGACGTAGCCCAGCAGCTGTGGCTGACCTCCAAGCCCTCTGGGTAACCAGGGAAGTACTTTCCCTCCAGAAGGGAATCTCCAGGGGAGGCAGCCTTGGAATGCCCTGACTTCTGTGTGTTTCATGGGGCAGCACCTAAGGGTCTAATATAATGGGAAGGGGCCACGGGGCGGGGTTGGGGGGGGGTGTTGCCACCTCAGGCTCCTCCTACCTTCAGGCAGGCATCCTCACAGTACCTGCGGAGGTACACTTTTGCCAGATGAGGAAATTGAGAGTGAGTAGGCGAATGGAAACTGGACAGAGATGTAATTAGGAGAAAGGTTTTCCTTACTTTGGAGGGGGCCTGCGGGGAGCATCAGGAGGGCTCAGGAAACACCCGCCTGCATTCCGCAGGCTCCGGGTGTCAGCAGCCCCTCACCGCGTCCCTGAAGGGCCTGGGGAGCAGAGTCTGGGAGAAGCCACGGAGTTCCTCCCCAGCCCAGCTTCAACAGGTGAGCTGCTGGCACTAAACATCCCGATTTCCCTTAGTAACCTACTGTAGATTTGTCGTCTGTGCGTTTTTCCTAACCTTTTTTAGAAGCTATTTATATCTGCAGCCTGCACCACATTACACTGAATGCTGGTTTCCTCCTCTGCATTGGGAAGGTGGATGGCCTCTCTTGGCTCCAAAGCCTCTG